GAGCCGTATGATGGAACATGTCTACTTCCTGAGCCGTATGATGGAACATGTCTACTTCCTGAGCTGTATGATGGAACATGTCTACTTTCTAAGTGATACAATGGAACATGTCTACTTTCTGAGCCGTATGGTGGAACATATCTTCTTCCTGAGCTGTACGATGGAACATGTCTACTTCCTGAGCTGTACGATGGAACATGTCTACTTCCTGAGTTAGTGGAGCTCTGAGGTGATGGTTGTTTTGAATCGATGTTAAATAAACAACAGAAATTAAAAACAGATATTTCTGGTGACTCTGGCTCGAGGTCGTAGCCTGGCTTCACCTCTGCTGGGGTCATTTTAAATTCCCCCTCCTCCACTCAGCATGTTTTAAGACTATCCCCGTTTTGTGTTGCGTGACACGGGGGCGGTCTGTGGACCCATGTAAGCCCGGGCGTCCCATCTGTTCCTCAGACCAAGCCTCTGCAGCTGATCCTGAGTGACTGCAGGCCTCGGCCAACGCTCAAAGAGCATCCTGGAGTCCTGGCAGCATGCAGGCCATGAATGATTTATTCTGTCTGAGAGGAAACAACATGAGGAGGAGCAGACCTTAAATCTCACAGCTTGCTCTGCTCATCATGGTTGTTACAAGACTCTGAAGAAATGCATGTCACCCACCTCTTTCATGATTTGGACTTAGATTGTCTAGTATTTAGGAAGGATGACATTGCAAACATTTTTATTCTGTGTAAACTTGTCATATCTGTTGCAATCTTTTAGTAGTTGGAGTATGTTTTGGAAATGACTATCAGCTACTACCACACCAAATTATTTTAGGTCATTTAAAAAAAATTTACCTTGATAAAGTCATTTTGTGTTTTCTATGTTTGGCTAGCTCTGGCTCTCATCTTAAATCAAATTGACTCCAAAAGTTAATCAGTTGCACACATAAACCTATTGGTTACTTCCTGAAAGTTTCATTAAAATCCCTTCAAGGATTCACGAGATATTTTGCTAACAGACAGAGTTGACTCTAATAGTTAATAGCATAGTTCTAAATGCAGATCTAATGCGATCAGTTAGTGCTTTTAATATGAGTTGGGGATAATTCTCAGCTACTACTATCCCAAATTTCAGCTCAATAACTAAAAAATTGATTGAATTATTGCCATTTATGTGTTTGATTAAACCGCTTAGCTATGGCGGCCATTTTGAATTGGATCGAGTTTTAAAATTAATCAGCTGTAGATGCATATTAGTTGATAATTTTCTGAAAGTTTCATTAAAGTTGGTTCTGTGATTCGTGAGATATTTTGCTAACAGACAAACATGAAGCAATTAAAAACAAAACTGTCGCTCCTCCTCTGTCGGAGGGTGAAAAACAAAAGTCTGGATTTATTTAACTACAAACACTGAAATAAAACATCCTGATTATGTAAATGTCATCCATGAAAGCTGCACATACTTTTACCAAACTGGAGCAGAAAGGTTAGGTTCTGATCCATTCCAACGGGAAACATCCGGTCACATCAGGGGGAAAAAAACCCAAGGTCGTTCAGGTAAACAAGCATCTGGACCGGTTCTGGTTCAGACACAGTCCGGTTTATCTCCCAAGTTCCGCCGCGGCGCTTTTATCTTAGGCAGAGGAGGCATCTCGCGCCAGATTTCACATCAGAAATAAAATTAAATAAAATCCAAATAAAAAAAAAACACCTGAAGATGGGTCCTCCAGTTCTGCTGCTTCCAGGCCCGTCGGTACCGAGCGGAGCTCTGCAGCAGGCACCGGGGGAGGAAACGGGTCTGGACCCGACAGGACTCTCCACTGATTATTATCAGCACGGAGAGGCAGCGGCGGAGAGTCCGGGCAAAGCGCACCGAGAGGCGGCTGTAGACACGGAGGATCACCGCCACCTGCCGGCCGACCCGAGAACAACACCCACAAAACCACCGGCCTCCACAGCTGACCAGTCCCACAAAAACGACTTTAACTACAGCCGATCAGATTCAATCTAGCATGGTAGTCACTGAAACTCATTAAATGTGTTTTGTTTAGTTTGGGTTAATTTTGGTGATTAAATGAAAGAAACATTTATATTTTTATAGGAACTTCCTGTTGTAGTTGCAGGGGTTTCACCACCAGGTGGCAGAGTTTCTCAGTTTGTTGCATATATATGAAAGACTGTTTATTTTATCTTTAGCTCATGAAACCTGAGCTGTGACACACTTCATGACCTTCATCAGTTCTCATGTCTGCAGAAACAAACTGAACGTTTAAACAAAAGGCAGAAAGAGYCGTAGCATTAACTTTATTTAAGGAGCAGAGTCTCCAGTTTCACATTCCTCTCTTACATCATCAGTTCACATCAAACTGGTCACGTTCAGATGCTTCTCCTGCTCACATGAACATCCGCAGGATTTTGGGTGTGAACCTCTTCAGCGTGCTGCCGTCCATGACCTTCACCGTCTCCTGGGATTCCATGATGGTCCGGTGGGCCTCGTCGAACAGCTCCTTCCCGATGGCCGCCTGAACCCGGTCCCGCCACGCGCTCAGCTTGGGCCGGTCCTCAAAAATGTCCAGACCTGCAGCCACGGGCTGGTGGTGAGAGAGGAGGAGGAGGAGGAG